TTTCTAAGCTGATCTCTTGTGTACTGAACCGTACTGGTGCTCAGTCTGTGGTCTGACCACACATGTAGTTTTGAACTCTCCCTTGAGTCCGTGTGTCCATTTGTCCATGAGCTAAGTCCACACACTGTCCTGGTTATGTGGTTTCACATTAAACCTTAAAGTCAGATAGTATAAGTCCTAAAAAGTTGTCCTTTTTCAAAAATTTTTAAATTTTGTTTGTTTTTTAGTACTGGGGATCAAACTCATGACTTTGTACTTACCAGGCAAGCACTTGAGCTGCTAAGCGAAATCCCCAGTGCAAATTGATAGGATTTTCAGCGTGGCTAAAAAGATAAGAAATATGAAATAAAAGTGGCCTTTATTTTAAGAATGTGGAGAGAGATTTCATACCTCTGGGGTCTGGCATTCTCTCTACCTGACACGTGGTGTGGGGGGCATACAAGTAGCTTAGGTTTGGGTGGAGCCTAAGGGGCATTACTGATGCACAGGTAGACCATTGGTATTCATTCGGCACCACAGATAAATTGCCCAGGGGTGGGAAAGGTGACCTCAAGATAGAAACCCTTGGTTCTGCCTCCCAGCCTCTCACCGCTGCAGCTTCCCATCCAGGGCAAAATCTTTTCATTCCCGTCTTTTTATTATTAGGAAAAAGAGTGGAGTTTTTCTTTCTTTTACTGCTTCCTGCTGAAAGTACTGTACTGGGGTTTAGGAGGGTTAACAGGATGACGGTTGATGCCCATGTAAAAGCTAGTGCCAGGTGTTTTAACCAGGACAACTTTATCATTGGTGAATACCCATACATTAGACTGGAAAAACAAAGAAACAAGGTGTTATACAAGGTGTTATGAGGAGGCAGGCCACTATCATATTTAAGAACCCAGGTGAGGTAAAAGGAAAGGTGCCTTTAATTTTGATATGTCATTTTATCAGGACCGTGTTGAGGTAGAATCATTGCTACAGTGAGGTAGAATTCTGAAACATAAGTGTGGGGTTAGGAGGAGTGAAGTTATGAGAGGTGATTATTCCCCCATCTGAAAGGGTAAAAGTTCAGAGGGTAGGTAGGTAAGACTTATCTCTGGTATGCATGATGTGGGAGTCTTTAGGAAAGACTATTGAGAGTCCTGCTGTAAAAAGGATAAGAAATTAGGAACCAAACTGGATAACAAAACATGACAGCCTTCGAGTTGTGGCTGTGAGGCCTTGGTGAGGTGGAGATGAGTGGGCAAAAGGATGGTTAGATCTGGGGCTGGGAGGGCAACACTTAGCCTGAGTGATGTGGAACCAGGATGGCAGTCTAGCAACTCTGACCACTGCTGAGGTTTCCAAGAAGACCAGGTATGGGCCGCTCCACTTTGGTTGTAGTTCTTGCGATGGTTTTATGTAACAGGACTTTCATAAGTGTATCAGCAGTCTCCCTGGTTGTGGGAAAGGCTTTTATGTATCCTGAAAAAATATAAACAAAGGTGAGAAGATAAAATTTATCTGTCAGTGTTGACCAGGTTTGTGTCTGAGAAATTGGTGAATAGGAAAGGAAGGGGGTGCTGTGTGTCCCTGAGGAGAGGGTTTACTAGAGATAACAGGTGTAAACTGTTGAGACCTCAGAGTGTCTGGGTCAGTCTGCATAAACACAAAGGAATAAAAAGGCATTTTTAAGATTTAGGACAGTAAAGTGAGTGGTGGAGGGAAGGATTTGAGAGCATGGTATAAGGGTTTGGCACCACTGGGTGCACTGGGGTAACAGCACTATTGAGTATCTTAAGGTCCTGTACTAGAGGGTGAGACCCATCAGGCTTGAACACCAGGAGAATAGAAGTATGATAGGGTGAATGGGTAGGTTTAAGAAACCATTGTCTAACAGGCATTTAATTATAGGTTTAAGTCCCTGTAAATGTTTAGGAGCTATGGGATATTGGGGAACACAAGGAAAAGTTGAAGGATCCCTGAGATGAATTAAAATAGGTAGGACATGGACAGCGCAGGTAGGATAGGAGGTATCTCAAACTATGGGATTGACCAGAGAAGAAGCAATCTGGAACCTGCATGGAACAGGCCCTGTCTGTAAAGGCTGCATAGGTTGGCCGTCAATACCCCCTATAGACTGAGGACTTAATATAGTGGCTGGAAAGCTCAGGAAGAACCTTATACATGGCCTCTATGTCCACAAGTATAGAGAATGTCTTACCTGAGACCTCCAGTGGGACTTGGGACTCCGAGAAGGACACCTTAACGGGGGCTGTGGACCCCGAGCCCCATCAGTCTTCAGCAGCAAGTTTAAGCAGATGTCAGTGATGGGTTGGGAGGGCACCAGTTAGCCTGTCAGTGATGAATCTGGCAGTGTTGGCATTTCCTGTGAGGGCTAGAAGTTAGGATGGCTTACCCACTCTCTGGTGGCTAGGACAGTCCAGTAGCCCTGGGGTAAGGTCCCAAAGGAATGCCAGGATGGGGCACTCTCTTCCCCAATGTCCTTCTGCTGCATTCGAGGCATGGTCCAGGAGGGGCTCAGGCAGCTCCACCTTGTGTCGGTTTACCTGTCTCAGAGCTCCAAGTGTCACTGCTAAAAGATCAGATGGTTATTTTTATTTCTGTTGTTGAAAACATGAAAAGCCATATTAAGAAGGTCTCCCTGTGGGGTTTGAAGGCCAAGTTTAGCCTTTTGTCTTGGAATCTGGCCACAGTAGAAGGTATCTGTAGAATTAATTAAGTATGCAGGAGTTAAATAATATAATCAACAGGATATTTATAACTTTAGTAATGGCTTCTCATAAGGAGGATAAGGTCCAGGGAATTTTAGGAACTGACATGTCGTTCATTTGTCATATAATGTATCTCTTTATGCTGTTAAAATGTCTAATGCCATCTGATTTTTGGAGGATGGCCTGTTTTATTAATTTTACCTTTTTATTTAGGAGAGAGATCAGCTATGGTCTCATTTAACGCCAGTTGAGTACAGTTAATTATGGCTCAGCGGAGGGCAGAGCCAGGGCAGTCAGACAGGCTGGCAAATGCTCAAGCCAGGTCTCTGCCCCAGTGTTGGTCTTGTTGTTTTGCATGCATTATCTAACCTTTTTTTTTGAAAAGGTCTAATGGATTCCAGCAAAAGGAATCTAAAAGGAATTTATAATTATCTCTTAATTTCAGTTGTTAAACATCTCAAAGATTGATAACAGTACAGTATAATATAGGCAGTAAACTTAACATAGAACATTAAATGGCTACCAACCATGAGTGTTTAACATTTGAACACCGAAGAAATTTGTGAAACATCTCTAAGCGTATGTCTGGATCTGAAAGAAAACATTTGTCATCATACATTGCATAAATTTTTGTTTAAAATTATTATTTGGCTGGTTTACTCATGTTGGTGTGATTTGTATCTCTTGGCTGGAACACAAGAAAAAGACAGCAGAAACAATCCCAATTCTATATTTGAAAGCATGAATATACCATCAGACCAGCAACAGTGAATTAGAGATCCCTTGAAATAAGAATTGGGCCCTTTTTCTCCCACAGCATCCTGTTGTCTCCCCCTCTGAGCCGCCGCTCAGAGCCCAGCTCACACTCAGAGCCCTGCTCACACTCAGAGCTGTGCTTGCACTCTGGGGCGGGGACTGGGACTGCTCAGGAGATGTGTGGAGCATGCAGGGTGGGGGTGGAGCACACAGGGCAGGGGCGGAGCATGCAGGGCGGGGGCGGAGCACATAGGGTGGGCAGAGCGCTGCTATGGCGCAGCCCAATGCTGTCCGCGTACACCTCCCTCAGCACTGTCTGGGCGTACCTTCCCCATCCTGGCCGGAAAGGCGGGTCAGCACGTGGAGGGATTGAGAAATGGGTGAGGCGGGGAGGAAAGGAGGACACTGAGAAAGCTGCGGAGTTTGGTGTTTGAGATATAGGGGAAAGGCTGTAAAGAAAGAATTTATCTCCTAAGTGAGGGGAGGGAGAGGGATCCTGGAAGAGCAGAGGGAGAGAGGGACACATTCTCAAAACAAAGGCCCAAAGATGGAGAGTTTTTGCAAACTTGTCATCAGTGTGATCCTGGCAGTAAGATTGTTTAGTTTTTATGGTTTTCTTTAATCCCAGAGTGCCCAGATTACAAACCAAGCACCCCAAAGATGTGGTTTTTTGGGGAAGGTGAAAAGATATTTCCCATGATCAAATCACAGTCAGGTGAGCTGGACCATGACCTAAGACAGGTCAGGTCGCCACCTTAACCTCTTAGACCGAACGGTAATCAGTAATCAATTCCAAAACTCGTGTTTTTTGGTTGTTACCAAAAGTCATGAGTGGATTTCCCATGGATTACAGTAACGGCTCTGCCTCAGGCTCTAAGGGATGTGAGAGCTTACAGTAAAGACTCTACTTCAGAGCTGCCTAAGGACGTGAGAGTGCTACTTGAGTCCAGGGAACAGGAAGAAATCCTGCGTGGGCGCAGAGCAATCTCCAGAGTTTGCTCACCTGTGGTAAATGAATTAGACCAATGTTGTTTGCAAACTAGGCGACAAGTTTAGCAGCTCCCACGTGTTGAGGAGTTAATCCAGTATGCAGTCTGGTCCATGAATGGCAGGGGACTCAGACTGGGAGGTTTTAGCAGTCTCTCGTCTGCCATTCCCAGTCAGAGAACCATCTGATAGAATTTTCGGCACAGCTAAAGAGATAAGAAGTATGAAATAAAAGTGGCCTTATTTTAAGAATGTGGAGAGACTGCATGATCTTCGGGGTCTGGCATTCTCTCCGCCCGACACGCGGTGTGGGAACATACATGTAGCTTAGGTTTGGGGTGGAGCCTAAGGGACATAACTGATGCACAGGTAGCCCAATGGAGTTCATTTCACACTGCAGGTAAATTGCTTGGGGGCAGGGAAGATGACCTCAAGATAGAGCCTCTTGGTTCTGCCTCCCAGCCTTGCACCGCTGCAGCTTCCCGTCCAGGGCACAAAATCTTTTCACAAATATTTCATAGTATCTCCCTGGTTTTCTTTTGTTTTTTTTGTTTTTTGCATCAGGGATCAAACTCATGATCAAGGCAGGTGCTTGTGCTGCTGAGCTAATCCCCGTCACTGCACACACGGTGTTCACACTCATGGGAGGTGGTGCCTTCATCCAGCTGTGCTGTTAGCAGGAAACACTTACTTCTTGATCCCCAGTCCTTTGTAAGTATGTGTAAAAACAGTAATATTTTTACATTTTGAAGTTAAGGTGTTCATTTATAGTCATCTGTTCTCTTTGCTGTTGGCACTGACTTCTGTTATTGGTGTTAGGTGCACACATGCATGGGGGCAGTTTTTGTGTGCTGTACTCAGGTAACTCTTTTTATGCTAGAAAGCTGTGTTTTAAAAACATTTCTTGTATACATATATAACTAAGCAGAAGGTATTATAGCTGGGTGTGATTGATAGGCTTTTCAGCATGATTAGAAGACAGGAAATATAAAGTGGCCTGTATTTTAAGGACACAGAGAGAAACTCCATGACCACTGGGGCCTGGTTTTCTCTTCCGGACACGTGGTGTGGGGGCATACATACAGCTTTGGTCTGGGGTGGTGTCTAAAGGGGCATTGTCGACGCCTAAGCAGCGCATTGGAATTCATTTCATGCCACAGGTAAATTGCCTAGGGGTGGGAAAAATGACCTCAAGGTAAACTTCACTTGGTCCCGCCTCTCACTGCTGTAATGTCCTATCTAGGGTAGAATCCTTTCATTCCCATCTTTTTATTGTTAGGAAAAGGGTGAAGTCTTTCTCTCTCTTACTACTTTCTGCTGAAAGGGGGCACTGTATTGGGGTTTAGGAAGGTTGACAGGATGACAGTTGATGCCCATGTAGAAGCTAGTGCCAGGTGTTTTAGCCAGGACAACTTTATCATTGGTGAATGTCCACACATTAGACTGGAAATACAAAGAGATAAGGTGCTGTGAGGAGGCAGGCCACTATCATATTTAAGGACCAGGTGAGGTAGAAGCAAAGGTGCCTTTGATTTATATATGTAGAATCATTACCATGGTGAGGTAGAATCATTGCTACGGTGAGGTAGAATTCTGAAACATAAGTGTGGGGTTAGGAGGAGTGAAGTTATGAGAGGTGATTATTCCCCCATCTGAAAGGGTAAAAGTTAAGAAGGTAGGTAGTAAGACTTGTCTCTGGTCCAGGAGTTGAGCTGGAAAGAATAGGAGGGGTTGGGATGGCTGTGGCTGTGTCACTATAGGGAAGGTAAGAGCCTAGGCCTTCAGGGATCTCACGTTTAACAAAGCATGACTTAGCCTGAGAGTTGTGGCTGTGAGGCCTTGGTGAGGCGGAGAGGAGTGGGCGATAGGATGGTTAGATCTAGGGCTGGGAGGGCAACACTTGAGTGATGTGGAACCAGGATGGCAGTCTAGCAACTCTGACCACTCTTGAGGTTGCCAAGAAGACCAGGTATGGGCCACTCCACCTTCGTTGGAGTCCTTGGGATGACTTTATGTAACAGGACTTTTGTAAGTATATCAGCAGTCTCCCTGGTTGTGGGAAAGGCTTTTATTTATCTTGAAAAAGTACAAACAAAGGTGAAAAGATATTTGAGTTTTGTGGCAGGGCATGTGTGTAAAATCTATCTATCAGTCTTGACCAGGGTTGTGTCTGAGAAATTGGTTAATAGGAAAGCAAGGGGGTGCTGTGTGTCCCTGGGGAGAAGGTTTACTAGAGATAACAGGTATAAGCTGTTGAGACCTCAGAGTGTCTGGGTCAGTCTGCATAAACACAAAGGAATAAAAAGGCATTTTTAAGATCTATGACTGTAAAGTGAGTGGTGGAGGGAGGGATATGAGAGAGCGTGGTACTGGGTGGATTGGGGTAGCAGCACTATTGATTACCCCGAGGTCCTCTATGAGCGGGTAAGACCCATCAGGCTTGAGTGCTGGGAGAATGGGACTTTATAGGGTGAATGGGTAGGTTTAAGAAAACCATTGTTTAAAAGGCACTTATTTACAGGTTTAAGTCCCTGTAAATGTTTGGGAATATTGGGGAACAGAAGGAAATTTTGGAGGATCCCTGAGATGAATTAAAACAGGCATGGCATGGCAGGGCAGGTGGGATTGGAGGTATCTCAAACTGTGGGGTCAACCAGAGAAGCAGCGAGTCTGGAACCTGCATGGAACAGGCCCTGTCTGCAAAGGCTGCATAGGTTGGCTGTCAACAGCCCCTATAGAGACTGAGGACTTAATATAGCAGCCTGAAATCTCAGGAAGAACCCTACACATGGCCTTTATGTCCGCAAGTACAGATAATGTCTTACCTGAGAACCTCTAGTGGGACTTGGGGCTCTGAGAAGGACACCCCGAGCCCTGTCAGTCTTCAGCAGCGAGTCCAAGCAGATCTTTCAGCAATGAATCTTGCAGTGATGGAGCCTCCTGTGAGGGCAAGGAGTTAGAGGATGGCTTACCCGCTCTCTGGTGGCTAGGACAGTCGCTCTTCCAGTGACCCTAGGGCAAGGCCCCAAAGGAACGCCAGGATTGGGGCTCGCTCTTGCCCAATGTCCTTCTTTGCTGCACTTGAAGCATGGTCCAGGAGGGGCTCAGGCAGTTTCATCTTGTGTCCGTTTACCTGTCTCAGAGCCCCAAGTGTCACTGCTAAAAGATCAGATTGCTATTTTTTATTTTTGTTGTTGAAAACATGAAAAGCCATATTAAGAAGGTCTCCCTGTGGGGTTTGAGGGCCGTGTTTAGCCTTTTGTCTTGGGATCTGGCCACAGTGGAACGTGTCTGTCTCTTTCACAGTCCCAAGATACCTGGTTTTTATCTTGGGTAAGTGTACCAATTAAGTCTAAAGGAGACAAAGGCAAAGAATCAATTAAGTGTGCAGGAGTCAAATAATAGAATCAACAGGGTATTTATAATTTTAGTAATGGCTTCCTATAAGGAGGATAAGGTCCAGGGAATTTTAGGAACTGAGATGTCATTTATTTGTCATATATAAGTACATCTTATGCTGTTACAATGTCTAATGCCATCTGATTTTTGGAGGATGGCCTGTTTTATTAATTTTACCTTTTTATTTAGGAGAGAGATCAGCTATGGTGTCTTTTAACACCAACTGTCTTTTAACACCAACTAAGTATAGTTAATTAAGGCCCCAAAATGCCCGGTACCTGCTGGTCGGTGGAGGGCTGAGCCAGGGCTGGCGGATGGGCTGGGAAAGGCTCAGTCCTGGCCCCTGCCCCAGCCTCAGTGCCGGGCTCATTGCTCTGTCCACCGTTGTATCATATAACCTTTTTCCTGGAAAAGAGCTGGTGGATCCCAGCAAAAAGGAATCTAAAAGGAATTTATAATTATCTCTTAATTTTAGTTGTTGAACATCCAGAAGATTGATAACAGTACAATGCAGTACGGGCAGTAACCTTAACATAGAACATTGAGTGGCTATTAACCATGGGTATTTTAACATTTGCACAGTGAAGAAATTTGTGAAGCATCTAAGCATATGTCTGAATCTGAAAGAAACCACTTGTCATACATTACATAAATTTTTGCTTAAAATTTATTCACTGGTGACCTTGTGTTGGTCTGATGTGAATCTCCTGGCTTGTCATTATAAACAGTCACTTGTCATCATAAACAATCACTTATTATCATAATCCCAATTTTATATTTGAAGGCATGAATATACCATCAGATGAGCAACAATGAATTGTCTTATTCATATGAACTTTAGTTGAGGTGTGTCCCATAAGGATATGGAGATTATCGGGGCCTCCAATTAATGAACAAGAGCTGGTTAAAGTTACCAGGTGACCACTTTCTTGTTTATCAATTGGAATCCTATCCAATGTCTCCTCACCCCAGAGGATTTTGTTTAACTAATTTTAGCATCATTTTGACCAGCTGGCAGCCTAGGTGGAAGCATGTTTTTAAAATCTGTAACCCAAATAAACCTTGATTAAATGATCTGAAAATATAAAAGGGGAGGAAAAATTGTTGAGCTCAAATAAAAAACAGCTGTTTACAGAGCGAGCAAATGGACGGACAGCAGATATATAGACTGACAATCATAAAATCAGAGTGCACTCAAATATATTTGGCCAATTTGAACTATAATAAATAGAACTAGTGTGAACTTTCTTGTAGATCAATTAATAGAGAGCTCTTAAAATAATACAAGAAAAGGAATCTAATTTATGGCTAATCTGAGATAGCTCAGAAAGTTAAAAAGGAATAGCTGTGCGCCCTGCCTTGTTGGCCATGGCCCCCTCCCCTCCCGCGTTCTGTTGCTGTGGCCTCCGCCCTGGCCCGGAGGCGCGCTCAGGGTCTGGCCTGAGCCAAGCCGTGTACAGGGATGGGTCAGTGGCTGCCCCGCCTGGGCGCAGCCCAACACCTTTGGCGATTGAGAAATTGGAGCCTGGTGGGTGAAGGGGGAAGAGAGGAGGACGCAGCGGTCTCAGCCTCTGGCTGAGAAGGCTGCGGGGTTTGGGGTGTGAGATACAGGGAGAAGCTGTAAGGAGAGGAGCCGCGTCCTGAGTGTGGGCAGGCGAGGGATCCTGCAGGAGCAGAGTGGGAGGAGGACGCGTCCTTAACGTGAGAAGGGCCTAAAGACAAGGGCTTCTGCCAACTTGCTGCCCTTGTGATAACAGCATAAATAAAAGATCAGCTTTTTGGTTTTTTGGTTTACCAGGTACCCCAGAGGTGTGTGTTTTGGGGGACAGGAGGTGGTCCCCATGACTGAATTATAAGTGAGCAGAGAGAACGATTTTGCCTCGGAAGTAGCTCCCCCAGGGAAGTGGAAGCTGTCCTGGGTCACACCTATCAAAAGAGGTCATCACCAGGCCTCCAAGTGTGACACTGTCACACCCATTCTCTTCCGGCCTGGCCGCTGAAGAGTGCGGTAGGGTCCCAGTGAACAAAAATGTCAGTCTCCCCTCAAGCCGTGCAGCCTAAGGAGCCGGAAAACTGGTGTCCCTGTTTGGGGACAGGGACGGCAGGATGGGTTTTCTGTCCCAAGCTTGCTAAGGGACGAGACAAAAAACCCCTCACTGGTGTGGAGTGAGGAAGGTCGCTGTTGCATGCGGATCAGCTGCGGCAAATAAACAAGTAAACAGTCCCGGAGGAAGAAAAAGGTGGTTTCGGCACCTCTCACCGCTGTAGTGTCCTATCTAGGGCAAGATCCTTTCAGTGATGGCGCACTCCTG